AATGTTCCCAGGGATGGGGCCTCCACCCCCTCTCTGGGCAACCCCTGCCAGGGTTTTACCACCCTCATGGTAAAGAATCTCTTCCTTAGATCCAGTCTAAACCTCCCCTGCTTCAGTTTAAAACCATCACGCCTTGTCCTGTCCCAGCTGGCCCTACTAAAAAGCTTGTCCCCCCCTTTCCTCTGGGCCCCCTTGAAGCCCTGACCGGCCGCACTCAGCTCTGCCCGCAGCCTTCTCTTCTCCAGGCTGAACACCCCCAACTCTCCCAGCCTGGCCTCAGAGGAGAGGGGCTCCAGCCCTCGGAGCATTTTAGTAGCCCTCCTCTGGCCCCGCTCCCACATGTCCATGTCCTCCTTGTGCTGAGGGCTCCAGAGCTGGACGCAGGGCTCCAGGGGGGGTCTCCCCAGAGCAGAGCAGGGCAGAGGGGCACAATCCCCTCCCTCGACACTGGCCAAGCTTCTGTGCTGCAGCACGGTGAGGCTGGGAGGAATTATTAATGAAATAAAAAAGGGAAGGTCAGACTACATGACCTAACTGGCTTGGGTGGCCTTAATAGCCAAGAATTAATGACAAAAAGACAGTTGATTAAAATCACCAAAATCTTTTTGCATGGAGTTTTAATGTGCTATATGTTTCACACCAAGATGTGTTGAGCAACTCCTGGCTGTGGTGTGAGCTGAGCTCATACGGAAAGCAGCATTGACTGAAGGCAACTCGGAGCTACGAGAGAACAAGTTCTTGGAAGCGCATTCGGAGAGCTGTCGTTGTTGGGGATGTTCATGGGAAACGAGAGAGAAACGGGTGCAAGCACACATGGGTGAGTTACTCCGAAAGATGTGGCAGCATCCTTAAAAAGATGCGGTCAAAGCAAAATGAGGATTTGTTGCCTGGATTAATGCTGGTGGTGGAAATTTAAAGAAGTAGGCATAGAGCAAGCTGTCAGAGTAACCTCTGAAGATGAGCTACGTTCATATTAACACCAGTAAGATAATAGTTAATAACTCCAGTGAGCAAAAGGACTGAGTATCCAAATGCAAAAGGGTTGCACTCATGGCCAAACTGCTCTGCTGTCACATCTGTAGCTGAAACACACTTTAGGACAAGATCTTGATCTTCTGTAGGTGAGGTCTCAGGTAGAAATATCAGAGCATTTGTAGACCTTTTCAAACCTTCCTGTCATACAGGAGAAGAATTTACATTGCCTTGTTCCCTTGGGGGAATGATGCCTCCCGGCGCTGACAGGCACGACGGAGTCTATCTCCTTCCAAATATTTATATTCAGCCCTCAGGAGTGGCACAGCTCTGCTGTAACGAAGCAGCAGGGGCTGAAATGCTGGAATAGCAGCTGCAAGAAATGGTTTCCCCGGGTGCACGCTGCATGGCAGGGCAGGAGCACGGGGCAGGCACTTGGGCTCAGCGGCAGAAATCTGCTATTTTGCCATCGCTCTCCGAATAGATTTTTCTCTTACTAAATCCAGGCACATAAAAATCTGAATTCAGCCCATGCTAATGATCTCTCGACTTCCTTGAGGAGACTGTGAAGTTAAACTTGCAATTGCTTGGCCGCTTTTCACCTAGCAGAAGCAAGGCGTGAGACGGCGTGCATCACTCGCATGCATTTCCACAGCTGGAACAGGGTTAGTGGCACAGCTAAAGCAGGTTTCCAGTTTGCCCTTCGTTTTAAGCATCACATAGAGTAACCTCAACAAGTTGACGCATGGCTGGAGCTTCGGCTTCACCCCCCCCGCAGCTCCCAGGAGGGAGGGAGGGCTGGTGCACCAGGGACCCATCCTGACGTCCCACGTGTGCCCCCTCCCCGTCACCCCTCGACGCTGCCTGACCCCCCCCTCCGGTCGCGCTGCTGCAGCGCTTGGGCAGCTGAGGGAAACGCAGCAGAATTGATCCTGTTGCTCCTTCAGAATTTCAGGGGGGATTTTTAAAGAGCGTCAGATGGATGGAAGGCTTTTAATATCCAGTCTTTAGCTTGCACTGTACGCAGGGAAAGAAATCTGCTCTTCATGTGTGCTGGGTTACTTAAAACACTGAGTAAGTAAAGTACTTACAAAGCAAGGTTAAATAGACTCTATTGCCTTTAAATAGTCACTAAGCTCAATCCCAAGCTTAACTCAGCCTGTTAGAAAGATGCCCAATGTCCCACCTACGCATTCATACTCTCACCCAGTATTATTAATGGTGTTACTAATTACTGGATGTTTTCATACCTTTTAAATAACCATTTTTTTGTTTATTTGAAGAAGAATGTTTAAGCCTTACCTTAACAACAAGGTTTGAAAGGAGTCCAGAGCTTGTCCTTTGCAGCGTGCCTGTAAAAGCAGAGATGCTGAGCCTCCCTGGGATGGACTTGCCGGTTGCCCCAGTGGCTCTCAGTGCTCCTTTGTCCATGCGCCCTTTTTTTTTCCACTCGGCCGCTTCTGCCAAAAGGCATTCCTCACACCATCACTTTGCTTTTCCCTGGTTTCCTCCTCCCTTCCTCCTTGGCAGATCTTCAGATTTATTTATGTTATAAAAAGCAAACAGAGCATATTGTTGTCGAGTTGCTGGAGCACATTCTCTGAAAAGTTACTCAGGAAATTCTTGAGTCTTGGCCAAGAGAAGAAAAACGAGCCCAACAACAAGCCCCACAAAAATCCTTTCTCTGGCAAACTCCGTTATGTTTCTTGGTGCAGCAAGAGAGGCTGAAGTCAACAGAAATATCGCGGCACGCTGCCGAAGGCGATTCTCGCTCATTCCCGAATGGCAAAGGCTGTGTTTGCAAACCTCAGTGCCACCAGCCCCGGTGTAGGGAGAGCAGTGAAGCACGGCCTCCAGGGTAGGACCAGCTCTTCCAATTACAAAACATATTGTAAACATTAAAATAAACTTCTCTTGACTCTGCGCTTCTTAAAGGGAATGGGCTTGATTTCATCCCCAGGCTGAGCGGGTGGCTGGGGAGCACGCCTGCCCCTCGCCACCCATCGCAGCATCCCCTCCCGCAGCAGGGGTGAGGAACTGAGAGTGGAAGGGAGAAGCAACCAGCTGGGACAGAGGCTGGGCTTGCAAACATGAAGCAGCTGGAGCTGCCTCCCTTTGCTCTGCCTAGTAGAAAAAAAACCCCCCAAAAACCATTTAAATAACATTTGGGTGTTTAAGAGCTGGGCAGACTCCAGAGGCATCATAAGACAGGACACAGAATCAAGTCAAGACCTGTGCCCAGTACATTTCCTAGGTATGCAAACCTCCTCCTCCCCTTTCAGTCCCTCCTTGCAAAAGGAAAAAAAAATTACCCAAAGAAGCATATATGCCAGGTCCCCTCAGGGAACCTCAAGCAAAGACACCTCCCTGCCTATCCCCTTGAGAGAGTCACTGATGTTTGGAGACCCATAGAGAAAGCATCTCTCCGGTTGCGTGGGGTGGCTGCTTTGGGGCTTTTCCCGGCAGGAGCAGCCCACCACTGAGCCATGGCAGCCATCTGCTG